GGTAAACTGAAACTGAAATCTCTGCTCCAAAAATGTGCCAAATGTACCCTGGCCCTCACAGAGCCATTGGGATCCGAAAAGACGACCGGTCTTTGGGCGGTCTCAAGCCATGCATCTGGCACTGTATGCCACCCAGGATGTCAAGCTCTTACTGTTCCACCACAGCACTGCCAGACATTCACAGGGATAGACACGAGTGCCTGGAAACTCACCAGAAAGGCCACAACAGGAGAGCAGGGTATAGTGGGCATGGTCCTACCCAAACCCTGGAGGGGAAGACTTACACCAGCCCAGCATTTCCTAGAAGACCCTGGTTGTTTTACATTGGTAGCAGGTTGGGTTGAGGGGTTGCATAAAACCAGGCAGCTGATACGAGCTCACATCATAACATATACATTTCCCAAGCACAAAAATTTTACCTTGACCATGGTAAGTTGTCCAGTGTTTCATCTAGTTTTCAATCATTTAAGTTACCAAAGATCAAATTTGATGAATAGCTTGTGTTATTTGCTTCAGTTTAATCCTTGGGGGGAAAAGATTAGTTGCTGATACCTATTCTTCCATTTAAAAAATAAAATATTATAACTGACTTGCCATCTAAACGATAAGGTTTCTTGAGTCTCTCTTGACTCAGCTTTCTCTAGATTTTTCTGGTTTATTTTTAAAAGCATTTCTACAAGTATATCCTTCATGTTGCTAGGTTTCAAGAGAAAAGAAATAAAGGAAGAAAACAAATCAATATTTTTTTTAAAAGACAACTCTTTGTCAAAAGTCCAAAGGGAAGTATGAAAGTAATCTTCTGTTACATGAGTGCCAGGCTTCCTTCTTCCCTAAATTTACTTTTTCATTGTTTGTGATGGACACCTTGCATACAGAACTGTGCCAGTGACCAACAGCAAATGCTTTAAGAAGACTACCCAAGGAAACAAGGTGTTAAGGAAATAATTATGAACTCGTACAATTCATAGGTCATAAAATTACAAAATTTCATTTAAGTGGTGCCTTTGATCTTCTACTGCTTTAAAGTCTGTGCATGTGTATGCATGTATAAGCTCTTGTGGGTCTAGTACACCAACATAATACAGAAGCATCACTGCAATGCAGTCATGTTTGGTGCAAAGCAGCTGCTCAACAGGATATAGCAACATACATAACAGATTAGGACAAAAAGCAAATCCATGAGAAATGTGCCCAGTTTAAATTACAGGAAAAGTTAAGGCTGACAAAACAGAACAATCAGATTGGCTGGGACAGAAATATTATCACACTTTACTCTTGTGAAATGTGCCATCAGCTCTCTAATGACCACATGAAATCAAGAGTTCAGGGTTGTTTTCATATCCAGAAGTGTCCAGGCAAGATAATAACTCCTGTACAGAAAGTGCCCTTCGGACAAATCCAGAGGAAGTCAATACAAGCAGAAATTGAACGATTTCTTGGGATTGTGGGGATGCAGTTTGGCATCAGTTACAGATATATTTGCATACTGAGCAGCAGCACAGTCTGAGATTAATGGTATTTCAGAATAAATAAAGCAGGTTGTTGATTTATAACAATACAGTAAGATGAGCCCACAAATATCATTCAAGTCAATTGCCTCAGAACTGGTGATGCCAATAAAATGAGACCCAGCAATGAAATGATTCCTACTGTATCACTGCAAAACAAAATCTCAGTATCTTATTTGTAAAGAGACAACCAGTTTATTTCTACTTGAAGAATTCCAGATGTATTACTTTGTAGATTACTCTCCTTTAATTATTGCATTTTTTAAGATAACTGAAAACAAGAAAAATAGTATTTTTATTGCCTGTAGGACTTTTCTATATTTTCATTAATGTGCAAATATAACTAATTGTTTTAGTGCAACATCCCACAAAAAGATATTTTCAAACCCAAAGATTACTTTTGCTTTTAAAAAGTAACAAGCTTTATCATTTAGACTATAGAACATACTTAAATGGTGAACTGACAAAATTCTGTCCTTTTCTTTGTTAATCTAACTTCTTCAGTATGGGTAACAACAGAAATTATTAAAAAAGAAAAAACAAATAGCAGAGATAATCCACATTATAGGTCTGGAAAATTATAAATAAAATAACTTTTAGCATCCAATATGAAAAAGGTCTTTTTTCAGATCAAAAAGATCTGCAAAGTCCAAAAGTCATAATACACAAATGCCAGCCACTGAAAAATCAAAATAAATACATCTTGTAGAGCTAGCAAATTGTTTAATATCATATAATTATTTTAAAATCTTTTCCTCTAGTTTTATCTTCTTTCTCAGACTAGTTACCAAGCATCAGCTGAATGCTGCAAGACTGAACTGCTACAGCTACTGGCACCTTGGAATGTGGGCTTTTTTCTTAAAATTAATAAAGAGGATTATTTTACTCTTGCAAAGTCAAATGCTCATATCCATCTACAAGACAGCATTGCACAAATTTCTTCCGCATTCATCTGCAGTGTTGCTGCCCACCAACAAGGAAAAACAAAAAAATGTGAGAAAATATACGGTCATATTTTTAAACTGTGTCTTCTTCAGGAAAAAATACCGTGTTTAAATTCCAATTACACTATTTAGCCAGAAACGGAAATGGCCTTCTGAGTCACCGAGTGTAATCCTTCCTACCAAGCCTCCACCACCTGCAGCCAACTCACCGTGCCTCTTACGAACAGGGACATGTCCGAGTTTACCCATCCCCTGAGGTTACCTTTGCAGCTCTGGTCTGAATTTATTTACAGTCATACTTCTTTGTGTTTGTGTCAGCAATAGCTTTCAGGACAAGTATTCATCTCTCATCAAGATAAACAATATTAGAGCAAAGTCATCACTTACAGCATTATGGCAGAAAGAAAATCATCTTTGACAGAAGTCATTATCTTTTCCATTTTTATTCGAAATTTATATTCATAAGTTAGTGTGAAAGCTATTAAATGAACTCTCTACACTTTAATGTTTAGCAAGTGCATTTTGTGGGGTTTTTTGTATATATATATATATATATATATATATATATCT